CCGTGAAGGGTTCAGAGGGAGCTCAGGCCATGGCTCATGGGATTGGTGCTGTGTGGCATGGGACTGGCAAAGCTCTCCTCATGCAACAAGCCCTTCCCCTTCTGCCTGCAGCTTTAAGCATTGGAGTTGTCATGTGTGGCCAGAACATCCACAAGATGCAGCTGTTAGGCCTCTGAAGGCCAATTATTTTGAAATAGCAGCAGCTGAGCATCCACACTAATGCTGTTTCAAAATAACAATTTCTACATGAGCTTATGCCCCAAGGAAAGCAGGAGTATAGATTTCAAAATAACCAACCCGTTATTTGAAATAATGGGCTTGGTGGTATGTGGATGCTCTGCTTGTTGTTTCAAAATAAGGTGTAGACGAGGGCTCTGATGAACCTAAAGCTCAGATCCAGAGTCCATTGAAGTCATTGGAAAAGCCTCCCCTTGATGACAGTAGAGTTAGGAGCAAGTACCTAGTTATTACTTAACAAATGCTGTGTTAAGTGTGTCTGTAGAGTACAATACCAATATTTTGCTCTGTTTCTCCTGTGAATAAACTTTTAAAATTACATTGCTATTGTACTTTAAATTGAAAATAAATATTTCAGTACTTACATTAAGATATGACTAGCTCGGAAACCTTCATGACAACTACGGGGGTGAGAATCTTTGGTTGTATTTTTGTACTTTCAGGTAAAGAAGATATCTTAATAATTGAGCACTGAGATGTTTGTTTTCATGCTAAGTGTAACATAATTGTATCTTTCAGTGGTTAGCTGGTTCTTCATGCTGACTCCGAGTAGTCCTTACACATCCGATTGTAAAGCTCTTTTAAAATGGCACCAAGCAGGTGCATATTTTGATTCATTTAAAAATAGTGAGCGAAATCCAGGCTGTGGTGAAGGCAGTGCAGAAATTCCCAGGCTTTCCTAGCCAGGCCTCTCAGGTGACAGCCTGACATTTGAACCCTTTGCCTCTTGGAGTTCTAGAGTCCAGGTCCAGCCCAGGCCTGAACATCTACACTGCAGTTAAACAACCCTATCAGCCAAGCCCCATGAGCTTGTTCCAGTTGGTGTGGGCCACGTGTGGGTGTTTACTTGCAGTGTAGAGACGCACTCGGAGGCTTACATTGGGGTTGGTTATAATAGAAACATAACAGCGTGACTTTGTTTTAACACTTGTCATAACTCATTTCAAATTGGCATTGCGTGAACCCTGATGGGCAGCATACGCCAGACCAAAACATTAATAATTTCTGCCTTATTTTCTGGTCTGAACACTAGAGGAGTGTGTTTATGTTGTGGAGTCCTTGATAATGTGTAACTCACACACCTACTAGGTGTGGTTCACTGTCCCATGTAGTGGCACTTAGACCACTTACAGAGAGAGAGAATGAGTATTCTCACAGCCTTAGCTGAGAGCTAGCTGGCTTTTAGTTCAAGCAGTAAAGGCTTATGCACTAAACTTCAGAGTTTCCAGATTCAATTCCGCTTGTCAGCACTGCAAATGCAGCCACAAATTAATCAAAATCAGAGAACTTCCAAGGATAGGAGTCCAATGAAAGTAGTTCTCGAGTGTTTGTGGTGTTGTCCTCCTCTGAAGTGCTGAAACTCCTTTATAAAGCTCTTAACCCAGTGTTCAACTCTGACGTGGCTGAAAATCCTGGACTATCACAGTTCTTGGTGTGTGGTTGTTTAGGTGACAAATGCTAAGTATGGAAAGGCTGTGTTGAATGTTTGGCAAGCAAAGAGAGTGGTTCCTTACTAGGTGCCCTTGACAACATCAGGTGTTTCTGGAGAGGGTGCAGAAGGGCTGTGCTGCAGCTATGACCCGGAAAAGGAATTCTGACTTAGGGTACGTCTAGACTACATGCCTCTGGCGACAGAGGCATGTAGATTAGGCTACCCGACAGAGTAAAATGAAGCGGCGATTTAAATAATCGCCGCTTCATTTAAATTTACATGGCTGCCGCGTTGAGCCGACAAACAGCTGATCAGCTGTTTGTCGGCTCAACGCGGCAGCCATGTAAATTTAAATGAAGCGGCGATTATTTAAATCGCCGCTTCATTTTACTCTGTCGGGTAGCCTAATCTACATGCCTCTGTCGCCAGAGGCATGTAGTCTAGACGTACCCTTAGCCTCAGTTATGAGAGGGCTCCTGAGTAGCACACACTAGCCTAGTCCTATGGGAGAGCTCAGCATTCTTTCCTGAACCCCTTGCCTGACCAGCTAGCTGGCTAATTCAGGGGGAATAGGGCTATGACCTTTATAGGTAGTTAATGCCTATGGGGTGCTAGGAAGGAGCAGGGTCAGCAGCTCTCCCAAGCCAAGTTCTGATTGGCCCTGTCTGGGAAGAGGGTGGGGCTGAAGAGTGGTTTATTGTGCCCTCCCTCACCTTGCCCCATCACATTATACTCGTATAACCTCTTTGTTCTCTCACCCTTGCATCTCTTAAGATCCCTGCTGCTTAAGAAGGATTAGGCCTCACTGCCACAACAAGTAACTTTATTTTTGCATTGTTCATTTTTAAAACTCCTACTCCTCCCTCTCTCCCCCTTGCCTAGAGGGAAATTGAAAGTGAAGGGAAACTCTCAAAGTGAGAGAACGTTTTTTGAAAATGTAGGTTTTTAGCCACGCTTAGGATAAATATGGACTTTCCCTGGCAGCTCCTCACCGCCTCCTTGCAGCTCAGTGAAAGTGAGTCATGCTTATGTAGGCTGATCAAAGTTCTTATCCTTTCAGCACCAGCTGTCAGGATTTCCTCAGTCAGCATTTACTGCTGGACCCCTCTAAGTAATCCAAGTGCAGGCAGCGGGTTACAAACACAGAGAAGCAGCCAGACTGAGAGAGAGATCTGGAAAGGCCCATGACCTTATCTGAGAACACACTCTGCTCACAATCTTCTTTCTGCATGTCTCTCCTCTACATTTGTGGCTATCCTCTTATAAGGGCCATCCTTTTGCTACTGACGTCAGTAGGAGTTTTGGGAAGAGTACGGTTTATTCTGCCTTGTTTATTCTTAGCAAAATAAAAGACCACTCACCCTTGGATGTGTTTTTCAAAGGTACTGAGTACCCTCACTGGAAGTAACTGGAGCTACAGGTGCTCAGTATTGCCTAGAATCAGGCCCTATCTGCGTCACTTTGCTTTCTCTGCAATGGGGAAAGGGTTGAGTAGCAGATTTTGAATTAGGGATGTAATAGTGTAGTTGATTAACCAATAAGCAAAAGCTTATAGGTTAATGCTATAACCTCCCCCACCAATACATTTTTTAGCAGGCTGGCCAGCAACCTGGCTCACTCCTAGCTTGCGACAGGTTTGGGACCTACCCCGCTGCAGATCTGCATTTTAAAATTTATTAGGAGCTGAGCAGGCAGGCAGCCCAGCTCAGTCCTGGCTCATGCTTAGTCTAGGACCTACCCCCGCTGTGGCCCTACATTTGAAGTGTATTAGGAGCTGAATGGGCAGGCAGCGAAGCTGAGTTCTGTCTCGCACCAGGTCTGGGACTTCAGACATCCCCCTAGACATGGGCTGCTGCCCCCCCGTGTTGCTGCCTCTTTATCAGAGGCAGCAGCACTGGGCGACAGGCAGCCAGTCCGCAAAGGGAGCTGGTTTTTAAACTGGCTCCCCTCACGGACCAGCTCCCGCCTGGCACCCCACACAGTTGCCTCTTATACAGAGGTAGCAGTGCGGAGTTGCAGAGAGCTCCTCGGGAGTGAGGCTGGAGTACACTGACTGCAGGCTCTGCTCCCAGGTACTACAGAATAGTTGACTAACTTTTCTGAATCAGTTAGAAAATTGTACCATGGTAGGATCTTCAAAATTAACTATTGATATTAGGGATACATGCAAGGGGAAAATAATTTAGACTTAGTTAATAAAACTATTAAAGGCAATCTGCCAAATTCTGTGTAGTTTGGGTCCTACATTATATGTGCTTTGAAGTCTGCGTGGTCTGTCACTAGTACAAGCTGCCCTGATTGTACCATATGTTTGTTTTTTCTGTGTTGGTCACTGTGACTGAATAATTTTCTAAAATTGCAAACTTATACTAAAAGTTGCTTAGATGTTCCCTACTCCATAGTACAGTAAAACTCCAATTGTCCGGCATCCAGTGGTCCAGCACTCCTGATAGTCCGGCACCAACAGGAACCCGGAAGTGCTCCAGCCAGACGGACAATTGGAGCTGCCCAGAGGCAACGGCAGAGAGGGGGCGAGAGGCAGGCAGCTGTTTAAGGCAGGCGGAGCGGGGGTCGGGAACGGCGCGGCAAAGGGCGAACCCTCCACCGTGTTGCAGGGTGGCAGTGGAAGCCCCGCGCAGCCGTCCTACAAGCGGGGAAACTCAGCCGCCGGCTTGTAAGTGGCAGCAGCGGAGAGGGGCGAGAGGCACGCAGTATTCCCCGCCGACCCCTTGACCTCCGCCTACCTTAAACAGCTGCCTTCCTCTTGCCTCCTCGCCGTCGCTTGCAAGCCAGCTCCGTGGGGCTTCCACCCCCTCCCCGTAACACGGCGGAGGGTTGGCCCCCCACACACACACAGTGTGGGTCCCGGCAGACCTGTCACAGCACTCCACTGGAGTACCTCCCAATACTCTGGCATATCTGATAATCCAGCACCCCCTGGGTTCCAAGGGTGCCGGATTATCAGAAGCCTACTGTACATTAATTTAATGGAAAATTATTATTAGTGCTGTATTTTGTTAGCAGTCTGGTACAGTTTCGGGGGGGGAGAGGGCGGGTTTGTGTTAAATTATTTGCTAGGTGCTAACAATGTGCTTGGTGCCATACAGGACATGTACAAGCCAGTCCCCAAAACTGTTTTGAGTTGGAGTTAGTTTGCTAAGTTCTGCAAAGCAAGTGTCATGTCCCTGTAATATTTTAGTTCAATGTCTGTAAATTAGTTAAATGTTCAGTTTTTCAGCTGTCAGTGTAGGAAATCTCTGCCCAGTGGCTCAGGGCAAGCATTGTGTGTTATCTCTGATTAACTGACTTGCTTTCCTTATTCTTGCTACAGGGAAAGCTGCTTCTCCCCAATCAGTCCGGAAACATGTCCCCTCGTGCAGTCCTTTATCTGCCCCAAGAGAGCCTTTGTACTTGATGGCCACGTGCAGTTGAAGACGGGCCTTCAGACCCAAGAACGGCACCTTTTCCTCTTCACAGACATCCTTGTTGTTGCCAAGTCCAAGTAAGTACCGATCATAAGGAAATTCTCTTGCAGAGCAGCATCCCTCATCAGCACAGCATCCCATGAATGTCCCTGATGCTACCTTCAATAGTAAATCTTCCATGGATTTCAGGAGAGTTTCTTAGTCTGCCAATGAGAGTTGAGTTCCCAACTCCCATGAGTGCTTTTACACACTCACATGTCTGTCCGTTTAGACCAGAATATGGGAAAGGAATCAAACTTGTATGTTAGTTCTATATGGGTGGGTATTTTAAAAGTCTTGACTTGTTGTTGAGTAGTGGGTGAAGTGGGAGTTAGTATGTTGAGTTCCATTCCCAGCACACTCTGTAGCAGGCTCTCCGAATGCTGACAAGTCATTTAAGCATATTAGGCCTCAGTTCGTTCAATGGAGAAATATGTACAATACCACTATCTGCATCACCTGGTATTGCAAGATTTAATATGCGTCTAGGAAGTCATTTGATATCCTCAGATGAGGAACATTTCTGTAGATATTTTTAATATTAAAGTATTACAATAAGCATTTCTGTCCTCTTTGGATTTATCTTCTGAATGCTATTTCTGATGCAGCAAAGTGGAAAGTGGTAGTAGTATTGAGGAGGCTGGGAAGCTGTTGATGTGTTATCAGGCCTCATTGTTGAGGTCAGATTTTTCTCTCTACCATTCACAATTAAGTTAAATATACAAGATGGATCTATCATTCTAGCTGCTTGCAGCAGTTATGGTTTAAGGCAATTCTTGTGAGTGCTTTCACTTGTTAATGTGTTAAGGAAAAATGTGAAAAACCCTGATGTAGCTTTATACTCTGTAAGGCATCATGTACTTCTATTGACCAGGATGGATGGTTTGAATGTGAATCTTGTGTTTGTTGCAATACAGGTTTTCCCTAAATGATTATTTCAGGGCAAGAGGGTGTTGGCATAGTCTCTAGGGGTCATAGGTTAAAGGTCAAAGGGCACAGGGCGTAGAGGTGGGGGGGGTCAAAGGGTGTTAAGCACTGGGGAGCAAGGGGCTGAGCTGGGGCTAGCGGAGGAGGGCTGGGGCTGAGGGAGGGCAGGGTTTAGATGTCAAAGGGCAAGAGGGGGTGGTTTGCAGTGGGTCAGTAGTTATGGAGCCAGGTGCGGCATAGCTCCTGCTTCTCTCTCAGGGGGAGCAGATTTGAGGGTGTCTGAGCAGGGTGGGGGGGGCCTCAGAGCATGTGGAACAGGCAGTTGCAGAGTCAGTGGAGCAGGATCAGGGTTTGGCACAACAGGCAGTCATGGAGTTTGTGAAGCAATGGGCACGGGAGATAGTGAGGCAGAATCAGGGAGCGCTGGGAGTGGTGGGGCAGGAGCTGGGGAAATGGGAGGTTGTCGATTTCAGTCGGGTCGCTGGGACACAGAGAGCCAAGGTTGATAGTTACAGCGGATGCAGGACAGGCTTCAGGCAAGACAGGTGTTTTAGAAAAGGAAGTTGGTAGCAAGGGGTGTTGGGAAGAGGGAGATGGTGGACACAGGGTGATGAGCTTGGCAAGACAGACTTGTGAGGTAATGGGGTTAGTGGGATATAGGGGATAGCAGACGATCAGTTTGGCAGGTTTAACAATAGACACACAGAGTACCAGGGTCAGAGGGTTCAGAGGTTGGAGATAGAGGGACGTGCAGTGACGAGATGAGGTCAACGGTTGAGTAGGTTGGCAGGCAGGTAACATTTTAGTTGCATATTTGCATATTCATTATTTGCATAATGAATAGGTAAATATGCAACTACAATGTTTCCAGTCTGTCAAAAGTTTGAATGGGTTTGCCAGTCCACAGTGTAAAAAAGTTTGGGAACCCACTGTTCTGAGTAATATATAGGGCAGTGTTTCCCAATTGGTGCTCCGGGGAACCCTGGGGATCCGTGAAGTGAAAGCAGGGGTTCCACGAAGAGCCTCCTGTTAAAGAGACAGAGCCGTGGCGAGGGCTTTTTTTTTGCTCAACGAAACGTGGCAGGGGCCTTTTTTTAAGGCAACTCTTGGCGTTCCGTGGCCAAATAAAATTGGGAAACACTGATATAGGGGAAACCTATGATGTGCTATGTACCAATATATGGTTATAAGTCTTGATTTCTTAATTGCTGATGTGTACTTAAGACAGTGGTGCATTAGAGTAAAAGCTAAACTGAAATAAGGAGCTTGTTGAATCTGACTCAGTTACAAAATTAAGTCCCATAAAATGGCTAATCCATCATATTCTTCTGTGTTATGTTCTTGCCTAGTTTTGGGGGCTGCTAATGTCTGAGACATTTTTGTCTGTCTTTGGACAAGTACTGCTCTGTAATTAGAGGTACTCCTAATCTTCAGTGTGTGTGCAGGCTCAACCCAAATCAGTCACTCTGAAAAGGAATTTAATTTATAATTAGTGTTTTATCACCACTAAACGTGTCCAAGTTTTGTTTTGTTTGGTTGGTTTTTTTTTAAGGAAAACAAGTCCCCAGCATGCTCTTGACTCTCTGATTCCGCTCTGGGGAGCTGATAAGCACCTCTGCAGAAGTGATGACTATACATTCCCCACCCCCACACACTGAGGCCTACAGTAATTGAAGGTGCTCAGTCCCTTGCAGGAGATGTTCAGTGACTCATAAGGCTGAGAAAGGAGATGTGCAGTATGGGCAAAGGGATAGGATGTGGATTTTGTTCCCAGTTCAGCAAATGGCTCTCTGCATTTGACTTTGGACAAGTCACTTGTGGATTTTTATAAAGCATCTCTGAAAATTAGACCATTAACCTTTCAGATCATCAGTTGGCCAAACCTGTAAAAAAAAAAAAAATAGAGATAGAGATACTATCTTATGGAGAGCCATGCCAACTAACTAAGTAAATATTTGCTGAACTTTGGCAAGTGCTTTGAGATCCTTAGAAGACAAGCACAATAAAAGTGGTGTTATCAGCAGATATTATTTATCACTTTTTATTATTCAGTGAAAGCTTTTAGTTTGTCCAGCTTGTGGACTCTAGTTTCCTCTTCTTGTTTTCATACCACTCCCCATAAGATATTTACTTTGGTGTATCATGTGTAAACATTTGACCTGATATTCGCTGTGATTAGGGGATGTTGCAGGGGGCTCCTGCCTCATGGTCACAGTTCATAACAGTGGTAGTAGTATTAAGAGTGCTTAGCAGTGACTGTTCAGTTTGGAGGCAGTTCCACCGAGTGGCAATAGTTCAAGGTAGCAACAGTTTAGCCTAGTGGCTGCTGCCTGGGAACTCAAATGGAAGCAGAGAAGGGGAGCATGGGACTTTCCTTCTCCACCAAGGTCTAACCCAGGGCCATGTGAGACTGACTTGGCTGCTCACCTGTATTTGTGTGATGTTCAACTTCCTGTTAGCTTCCTGGGATCATTTCCTATTCCAGTCCACCTTCCATCTGGCCACCACTCAGCTCTAGGGAACATTGCCTTTGGGTTTCTGGTCCATGTCCCCTCCATTGGGTGCTGCAGATTCCTTTGCTCATTAGTTCAATACTGGTTTTGCTCTGGTCCTTTGGGCCTTTCTGAGAGTTCCCAGAGTGTGTGTCCTGCACCCTGGCTTGCCAGCCACATGCTGAGCTGTTGGCTAGCTTTTAACCCCCCTCCTCCAGTCTAAGCATGCCCAGCCAGGGCATGGAGGAAGGGCCTCTTTAGCCCATAAGTCTTCCTGAACCTTGTGATTGGTGCTTTGTATTTATGTTGGGTAGAACCATCTGTGCATTTTGCATAACTGGTACAATCTGCTCATAGTGACTAAGAATGGCAGAATTGAGAACTTTAGGATTATTTGTAGGTTTGCGTCCACTTTGTGCAAAGCATTGCTTTTAAGCAACTGGTTCCCCACCTTTTATGCGTTCCCTTTTCTCCTTCCCTGTTGTCCCCCCACCGCTGCCCCCAAGACTCCTGTTCTACAGAAACTGAGCACAGGATTTGGTACATAAAGGAGGGAGAGGTTAAAGAAACTGAAGGTATTGCTTTGCTTCATTATGCAATGTGTGTTGTTCTTTGTGTCTGGACATATACAGGCAGTCCCCAGGTTACGTACAAGATAGGGACTGTAGGTTTGTTCTTAAGTTGAATCTGTATGTAAGTCGGAACTGGCGTCCAGATTCAGCCGCTGCTGAAACTGATAAGTTTCAACAGCGGCTGAATCTGGACGCCAGTTCCGACTTACATACAGATTCAACTTAAGAAC